ACCCTACACCCTGAACCCTGAAACCTAAACTCTGAACCCTACTACCTAGGAAACGGGGGGGGCCCTGTGCCTTGTGCATCGACCTTCAGGATCTCCACACGGCCGGGAAGGAAGCTCAGGACATCGGAAAGCGACACCACAGCCACCTAAGGAAGGGACCTTAATAAAGGGTTTAGGGTTTAGGGGTTCCTTTGAAGGGATCCTTAAAGGGTTCTATAAGAGATCTATAATAGGGCTTTATAGTAGGGGCCTTAAGAGTTAGATTCCTTTAAAGGGATCCTTAAAGGGTTCTATAAGGGATCTATAATAGGGCTGTATATTAGGGGCCTTAAGAATTAGAGTGGGGTTTTGGAGGCTCCTTATTATAATTATGGTATAATATACCCCAAACCCTATTCTCATGATTAAGGCCCCTAAAATGAAAAGGCGGAGCTGGGGTTTCTTTGGGGGGGGGGACCTGGTTCTCTTCAGGGCTTTGGGCTTCGAGGTTTAGTGTTCTGACAGAGTTTCCAGCTTCAGGGGCTTTTGGGTTTAGGTTTTAGCAAAAGAAGCGCCTTCATGTACGGACCGCAATATGTAGTTTAGGGTTTGGGGTTTAGGGTATAGGGTAGCCTAGCTATTAAGAAACCTCCGCCTTCATCTCCTCGCGTGCTTTCATTCCAGGGCCAGGGGCCTGGAGCAATGAACCCAGCTGTGTTTGATCACCGCTGTTAAAGTGCCATCCCACTCCCTCGTAGGACCATCGGTAAAAAGAGGCCCAGCCCCTTGTGCTGTCTCCAACTGCCGCATTGATCAAGATCATCCGGGGGTGGGCATGCTTTGCCACATGGTGTGAGTAGTGCAGGTAGTCCGGCTCGAAGGCGATTACCCAGGCTGTGGGATCGTGGTGCAGACGCGTTAGAAATGTCGATTCTCTATGCGTTCCGACATCAATGAGAATTTTTGCCCTCTCCGGCAAATCCAAGAGTGGGTGTGAGGGGCTATCCCTTCTTAACTTCGCGACGGGGATAGTGATGACAAGCTGATCACCTTCAGCCGACAATCGGCCGTGAACAGTCCCAGGTGCTGCCAGCACAATGAAGATGAGAAATGCGAGGCTATGCGAGACCTTTGGCTTCTGCCCCCAATCATCATGGCAAGCGGGTAGGCGAGGAGCATGGCGATGCATGAACCACGAGGCTTCTACAACGACCCATATTCCATGCTTTCTTCAGGCCACGAAGGCTGTTAACCCTGGGCCCCGCAGCCCTAAACCGTTAAACCTTGTCGGCATAACTTGTCATGAAATAGTTCTGCCAGGGATGAAACTTCAGACCCATCAATGTCACATGCTTTCCGAGGTAGTAAACGTTTCGGCTGAAAGACGTGTTTAGGGTTTGCACGGTTTCGTAAGGATTGGGGTTTAGGAGCTCTTGGCTTCGAGTTGAAGCAGCACCTGAAGGTTTTAGAGGTGTCCTGAGTTTCAGACTATGAATCTACACACCCCCCATGAAGCTCTTGTCGTTGTAAACCCTTTTTCCAAGCCCCATGTTCTGGCTACTGTGATTTTCCTGCGTCGGGCAGGCAGCTTGAGCCAAAGTTCAGCATGCAGCACGAGATTGTTGCAAGCTCACAGATCTTTGCACTAGCAAGACATGAGACATTTGTCCGATGTTACAAGGATCCAGGTTATTTCCAGCGGATGGGCTTCGACCGGCATTTTTTGTCACGCGTCGCATGAGACAGATCGCGCCGGGACATAGCGTGAGCAAGGCACTCCGATGCGCTATGGCACCTAGTAGTAGGCTACGTTTTCTGTGTGGCTGCCAGGGTTGGGTGTGCCGGGAAGCTGACAGAATCGGATAACCTCTGCAACAAAAGTAGGGGCCTGAATAATTAGAATCTGGTTTTGGGGCATATTGAAGTAGAGTTATATACGGAGCCCCTCAGGAACACTAGGTCAGGCTATGGATGTCTTCCAAGTGCTACTTCTTGCTCTTTAGCTTGGCCCTCGCGGCGTGAACCATCTGCTCCTTCTGGATGAGATGACCTCGATTGGGATTTCGGCCCTAACCCCTAAACCTCGAAACCTGTATCCTTAAACCTAAACCCAAAACCTCTAAACCCTAAACCCTAATCCCCAAACCCTAAACCCTGAATCCAAAACCCTAAACCTCTAAACCCTAAACCCTAAACCCTAATCCCTAAACCCTAAACCCTAAACCCTAAACCTCTAAACCTTTATCTCTAAAAGCCAGGGGCCCTAGGGCTCGGGGTACGGGGTTCCACGATCCCAGGGGCTTCAAGTGCTGGTTTGGGGCCATACTGTAGGAGCCTCACTAATTACCAATACGATTTTGGGCGGTTCCATAATATGACTGTAGTGTGCTGGGCCCCAAAACCCTATTCTCATTATTAAGGCCCTATCTTAGTGGTTTGGGGTGGGGAAGGAAAAAGCCCGTGAGACGTTCGACATCAACTGCTAGAGAATGACGAACTTTGGGGGCCTAAATCAGTGGTATAGAGTTCGTGGGTATGTTACGGTATATTCATACAAGGGCTGACGAGGGAATGCTCACCACTAACTAATCAGACCGCTGTGTATATCCGTACACGGTTTCGGGCGATTGGGCTTCGGATTCGGTGCCGAGCCGCTGGTGTTTTCGACCAGATCCAGCATCTTCGTGATGTTGTCAGACCTGATTGGAGTCTGAGCTGGGGCTTCCTGCCCTAGGGGGAGGGCCTGGATGGAGCATTGGCAAAAGAAATCTAAATGATTCGGGTTTGGGGCCTGACGCATGTATGGTATACGGATCTCGATATAATGGATGACAGCCAGCCAAGGGAACTGTGCTAGGCTTCAAGCACGCAGAATACAGGTAAATGGATGACATTTCCGTGTATGCGGAGACCCTTCCTTCAGAATCAAATCCCAAAGTGCTTACACTGCTCCAACATACGGAGTGGCCAACATCTCGCAAAAAGCATTGCCACAGGGGGTTCGCATTTCCGGGCCCCCTTAGAGTCCCGAATATATCTTTCTGAACTCCCATACTAGGGGATCGGAGCTGTTCATCTGTTCAGATTCAGACTACACAATCCTGCGCTGGCACCTTGTCACTACCCAAAATCAGCAATGATAAGAAACCCCTCGCGACAGCAACAAGAGAAAGGGGGCCCTTCTTGAGGTGCTCTGGATCACAAGTATCATAAACTACTGTAAGGGTTGCTGAGTCCTGATGAGTGGTGAGGTGCCAGCAAGGGCAGTACTGTCCCAAATCTCAACCCAGAGGTCTTAATCGCAGAACCTTGGAGCTAAAGCCACCCCAGCCCTCCCAGCAGCCGCACCCGAGGCCCCGACCAGCTGTTCAGCCGATCTATGTAGGTTTGCTTTTTACCTTCCAAAGGGTCGCGGAAGGGCACTGGTCTCCACTCGGGCATCTTACTATTATTACTATTATTACTATTACTATTTTGTATTGCTATTACTATTATTGCTATTATTACTTACTTAATATTACTATTATTGCTATTATTATCCGTCGTACTCCTTGTCATGCGTACAAGCCTGAAGGTAACGTTTTCGGTGCTCTCGAGGTCACCGGGTGAAGAGGGCTTATGCGGTGACGGTTCGGGCGTGAGGCGGCCACAGCCTCACCGAAACGGAGATGAAGTAGGTTTAGGGTTTAGGGTTTAGGGTTTAGGGTTTAGGATTATACCCCCGAAACCTGGCATGAGCTAGAGAGACCTAAACCGTGTTCCGCATAGCCTGTCCCAGAGCCTCGAGGTCCAGAGCCGCCCCAACGTGTCTCGAAGCTTCAGTCCAAACATGCCCTGAACCCTCACTTCGAATCTTCAAGCCCCCCAAAACCCTAAACCCTAAACCCTAAACCGCCATTTCCCCAAAGCCTGATCCCTGAACCCCGGCCCGCGGTGTCTCGACCTCTTGGCCTTACACTGGGCACCCGGCCGAATTTGATGGTGCCCGCAGGACGGTCAATGCGCGCATACACGAACCTCAGGGCTGGGAGGCTTGGGAATGGAGATGTTGGGTTCAGGGTTTAGGGTTTAGTTTAGGGTTCAGGGTTTAGGGCTTAGTTTGGGGTTTAGGGTTTAGGGTTTAGGGCTTAGTTTGGGGTTTAGGGTGTAGTGCTAAAGGGGTTTGGGATTCTTTGTTATTGTTGGCCGGGGGATCGCAAACTGCCTATATGGATAGGAAGCGAAGGAACAAGCAAGTGATCGTCCTGACATTATCCTTCAACCATCCTAGTCCTAAACATTCCTAAGCCGTAGACGCAACAAAAAAACATCAGCCTACCATGAGGCTGTCACGGGTACAAGTAAAGGCAAGTTAAAGGGTTACACCGGCTACCTCGAGTAGCGGTGCTCTCGGATTTTCCATCCTGTTGCACTTTTCGCGACCCTACACTCTAAAGCCCGGCATCCGTGAGCCCCGAACCTTAACTTCAAACGTAGAGCTAACGCCTGAAGGAGCAAACAAGCCTTTACACACTACTAGTTTCCAAGTCCCAAACCCGTCCCCAAGTCCCTTAGGCTCAACTCTAAGCCCCAAGGAGCTCTAGAGAAAACATGACCGCTACTTCGTCTACTACCTGATATCCCCAAAACCCCTCCACAGCCTAGACCCCGAGAGAAGGAAAAGCTCCGACTTCTTGTCACAGCCACTTCGAGCAGACAAGCTCGGACAACTCCTCCTCGGTCTCCTTGTCCCCAAGGCCTCCGTGGAGTCTTCGTGCTTACAGGTTTAACTTTCAGGGTTGCTATAGCAGGTGCCGTCAGGGCCTACAAAGGTTCTTTCAGGCTTTCAGGATATGGGGCAGTTAGCCTTCAGGGACGTTGAGGGCTAGGGGTTTGGGGATTTTGAAACGAAAAAGCAAGACATAGCCTGCCTTACAGAGAGTGCACCACACAGGTAAGGGCTGTACTCGGCGCTTTGCCTCAAGGTGCCTTATTTTAAAATATAGTATATAGCTCACCAGAATAAGGACCCACAACCCTGCTGTGCGTGAAGGCCCTTAAGTAACCCCTAAACTCTGGGTCAAACCCTGAGCCCGTGAAAGCAAAGGCCTAGGCAGGATCGACTAAGGAGCGCACCGACGAGCTCGCAGAGTCTTTTCGTGTGGATCTGCTCGTAATACTCTGACACGACCTCCAGCCAAGAATCCCAGACGTGCAAGGATTCAGGGGGTAGGTGGGAAATGAACTGCTTGACAGGGAGGCAGTGGAAGTTTCCAGCGATGTTCGCCTGAACCCTGGGGTGCCTTGGGTGTTCACCTGGGAACACAACGAAGTATGAACGGCTCTGGGAACGGAAGAGCTAGACAAGTCCCACCAGTCTTCAAGGCAGCACACAGGTGTGCGACCAGCCCTGGCAGCCGACCTTTCCATGTTGAACTGCAAAACTCACATAAAGGCCGCTGTGCGCGACACTCGAGATCTGAAGTCCTCCGCCTTTAACCTCCCAAGCCCTACGGTACACAAAACCGTCCGGAACCCGCTGCACATCTCTCTCAATTATAGCAAAGGCGCCTTGATGTTGTGCTGCACCACGCGCTTCTTCAGCAGCTCCCATCTTTCCTTGGCGCCCTCGTGGGGCGAGTCCTGGAAGACTGCGTGCTTCTTCAGCTCCTCCTCTTTGGCGAGGGGCCAGTTCACGATCTCCTCAAGGTCAGCGGTGCTCTGACTGCAGTAGTGGCTGCTGGAGTTTGGCGAGTTTGGGGTTGGGGCTTGATGTTTTGGGATGCTCGGAAGTGTGGAGGGGGGAGGAGGAGATGACAGGACTCAATTTGTCGCATTCAGAAGGTTTGAGAGTTGGAAAGCAAATCTGCTCCTGGAGAAGTCTGCTGACGAAGAAGAGTATGGAGAGTGTTTGATGACACACAATCCAGAGTGCACCACCCACAGAGCCCCCAAAACCGATTACATTTGTCGAACCTAACCCATAAGCATGCCATCGAGTCGACTGCCTTCTTCATGAAGATCCTGATCAAGTTCCTGTACGTCGGAACCTGCGCGAGAGATCTGAGATTCATAAGGGACCCTGAGTGGATCCTTGTTCTAAAGACAGCCGACAAGAACACCTTCAACAAGTCTGAATCCGAAACAAAGAGGCAAGATGGATCTAACCTGAAGCCTTGTACCTGTGGCTCCAAGGATCTTTGATGACCCAGCTTGTGGACCCGGGGAGGTTGCTTCAGCACCCTGCTCCCCTAGGTTCCGGGCCCCCTTCCCCCACGCGCCTTGTCTAGCTTTTTGCCTTCAAGGCTATCCAGCCTGGCACGGCCGACTCAATCCGCTGAATGCAGTGATGGGGAACCGGAGGCCTAATAATCTCTGGGGCTCTTCGAGCTTTGGGTTCTGGATTCTGGAGCGTAGCTGTTGAGCTCCACGGCGAAAGAGGGAGGGATTGAACTTCAAAGCGCTTCCGCCTCCGGGTATCAGGGTCTGACACAATCATGTATAGCAAAAAAGCCGAAGCAATCCGGGAAAACGAAAGCTGGCGTTAATTATTGAGACCCTTCGATAAGTTTAGGAGCTTCGATATACCGAAGCAAACTAAATCGAGAACCTTGAAAGACAAGCAGGAGACGCTTTTGGAGCATGTCGTCATGCTCGTTGTCATAAGGAGACAGCACCTGAAAGCAACGCTGCGAAGCTTCTCCGTTTGTTCAATCAGGTTCGTGCGTATTCCACCGTGCTTCGCAAAATAACTCCTTTGGTATACTACCACAATCATGTAGCACCCTTCCGAAAACCAAGAAGGCACCTTAATCCGCAGAAGACCTGCGTGAGATGGCGACGTCTCGTGTCGCTCTACTGTATTTGAAGTTGTGTCCTGGGTATCGTCTTTGTTGCCTCTTTCACAAAGCCTCGCTGCTATTCAAACACCCTCGGCTCAACCAATAGTCGACGTTGTTGTCTTCCGTCTCATATGGAGCGGAGACCGAAAGGCCCTCACAGAGGTGGCCGCAAGGGAAGGTGCAACCAGGATAATTCCTGGGGTCCTCAGATCCCGACCCTACCCTTTTCGTCAACCCTGTGAAAACCCAGAAATCGGAGAGCGCACATCCAGAACGCCGGCTTGCAGGGATCGAGGCCCGCGCCAGGTAGATGCAATAGGCCTGAGGCCACGCTTGTGGAGAATGCACCTATCTTTTAATTTACTCCCGCTTCAAGCCTAAACCCTAAACCCCATCTTTAGCAACGGTCGTCGTCTTCTACATGAACTCTAACTTGAAAACCAGCCTCGAACTCTAAGGGCTTCGAGTAAATACAGGCCTTAAGGCTTTGAGCATGGGGTTAGGGTTTCTTCTTTGAAGTTAGGATCGAACAAACGGTTAGGATTTCAGAATTTATTTTAGGGCGTCACGTCCACTACAGCGAAGAATATCCGGATACTTGGCTCCTGGCAGGGCCTAGAAGCCTCGATAAACTGCGGCTCTGGCATCTGAGATTGAATGCTGTGCCCGATCGTAGTTTTCACTTGGCGAGGATCTTGACTGGTTTTGAATGGACATTTTTTTTGTGGCAGCGGCGATAAGCCCCGCCTGCTGTTCCAACTATGCAAGTCTGCGTGTCACCACGAAGCATCCAGAGACTCCGGCGCTGAGAGGGCACCGCGGTAAGCATCCAAGACTATCCAAGATTTCTGAGTCGGGGCCAAGCTGCGACGCCTGTCTCTTTTGCCATTGACTCAAACAGGTACCCATCTTGAGGTTACCCATAGACCCCATAGTAGTTGATTTTGGGGGTTCATATATAGAATCCTATAAGGTAATCCCAAAAAGGAACTACTATGGGGCCTATGGGTAGCTTGATGCTGTGGTTTGGAAGAGCTGTACGAGGCACTCGACTCGAGTGCACCCGAGCGGATCTCTCCAGTCTCCCGGACGCCCGGATGGGCTTCACAACCAAAAGGCAGCAGAATCCCCATATAGCCGAAAACACAAAAAAAGCTGTCGTCGGCGACGTGCACACACTCATGCATGTCGAGCTATGCAGCAAGGCTCCACGCAACAACATTAAATAGGCGGGAAAACATATGCAGCAAATAAATGGTGGATGGCGGGATGGACGATCATGTAAGGCCTTTTGGCCCACGGTGGGGGTCTGGCTGGACGTGCCAGATGAGACAGGTCTAGCGGCTCGGGTTGGGGGATGATGGGAGGATCATTTCGGCTACCGCGCTTTACCGCCCCACACATAGGCGGCAAGTAACTACCAGCCAGGAACCGGGCCGTAAGCCACTCTATCCACTTGGACTCGTCGGACTTGACCGAGGGCGTGTTGAAGATCGCCAGGGTGCACCTTGCTGCCGTCTCGGTTTGCTGCCGAGGCTTGCTAGTGCGGGTCGTCGTTGCTACATGTGATGATGCTCTAATCTGGCATACACTGAATCATACTGACTGAAGCTATTTCGGTTGTTCGGTCGTATTGCTACTACCACTAGCGTTGTTCTTCGTGACCGTTGTGCTACAACAGCTACTAGCAGTTACTATCACCACGATTCTCGATGATGACCTGTAAATGAATCATTGCATCCTCCTTGTGAGTATGACAGGGTTGGAGAAGTAGGTAGCACCAAGCATTGTTCGGCGCGTGCGTCACATGGCTCGCGAAGAGGAGCATGCAGAATTACATGAAGATGGTAATGATGCATTGTTCCCCATCTATATCTCATCATGTCATGTGACAATCCATGCAAGCTCATATAGTCATAAACCTGTGGGATTTGCAGTGCTTGATTAGCGAAGCAATTTTGTTGTATGCTGAGCATAACGCCTCTGAACCCACTTCGGCCGAAGCGCCCTGTTCTGCAGCCGAAACCCGAATTTCAGACATCCGAAAGCCCCCTCCGAAAACCGTGAGCACCGCGCAAAATCCTGAAGGGTGTGGACTCGAGATGCAGATTCTTGCCGAGGCACTTGGCGACATCCAAGAACTTTCCCTCGTGCAGCCAGTATCTGATCCTCAGCCGGCACCCTGATACCATACCTCTAGATTCTAGCACCCTAAACCCTAGAAACCCTCTCTCGAAGAAGCCGCAGATTCTAGCCCCCTAAACCCTAAACCCTCGCTCAAAGAAGCACCTGACTCCTCGAAGCTTCTGAGGACTACGCTCCCTAAAAGCACCTCAGGGCCGGACATGTACTCGTAGTATCGGATCTTCAAGTCCTTCGGACTCTGGGCCCTCAGGGCCCGGAAGGGCCCAGGAGGCCCCGGCAGAAAGTGGAAAGTGGAAAGAGAGACTTCAGGGTTTAGGGTTCGGGGTTTAAGGGTTAGGGTTTCGGGTTTAGGGTTAGGGTTTAGGGTTCAGGGTTTGGGGTTTTTTTTTCAGGGTTTACACCAAACCTCAAAGAAGCGGAACACGTTGCACCCCTGAACACTGAGCCCCTGAACCCCCGGTGCAGGAACCGAACATGAGGGTTCCATCCTCTTAAAGACCCTGAAACCTGAAACCTAAAGGCCCTATAAATTCCCTGAATCCTTCTTGGGGGGTCTGCGCGGAAAGTCTTGTGTCAAGCGGGGGTGGGAGGGCGTCTCCTGGAAGTCATCTGCGTCGAGGAGCTTCGGGTTGATCTTCCTACTGATGATCTGGGTCCGGACCTTCCAAGGCTGGCATGATAAGAACTGTTGGATCCCAGAGAAGAAAACTTCAGGCGTCAAACTCTGCAATCGAGCAATGCCAAAGACCGGGAAGCTGGCCCTTGTTGAATACGGCAACTTCATGTTTGGAGGATGAACATGGTGACATCGACGATGGTACGAAGGTAGGGAGGACAAGGCGATGGTGATCATGAAGGTAAGTTCTAAATGACTGGGTGAAACGCTCTTTTGGAGAATCGGTGATGATTATGGTGATGATGATGATGATGATGGTGAGGAGGAGGAGGAGGAAGAAGCAATGAAGACGAGTCTTACTTCACCGCGGCGATGCCGGCTGCGGCGGTTGTAGTGCTCGTCACGAAGATCACAGGGTGGTGATGATGTTGCTGCTTCGGCTAGCATTTCTGTTGAGGCTGCTGCTACCATGCTTACTCTGCTACAGCGGCCGCAACAAAACATGACCCCGTCTGATTGAGACTGCTACTGCCAGTACGACTGCTACTGCTACTAATCATCAAAAACCAGTCTCGAGGTCATAATCGTAAGGCTACATGCTTCTGCTGCTGGTAACGCTGGTGGGAGTGGTGGTGCTGCTGCTGCAGCTGCCGTTCCTCCTCCTCCTCCTCTCATCCTACTACTAGCAAACTCATGTCTGCTCCTACTTCCACTTCCACTTCCACTGCTCCTGCTCCTGCTACGACGAGGACACGAAGTACTTAGGTGCTTCGTGCATTGAATGAAAAACTTCCGATCTCAACAACCTGCAGACATCGCTAAGTCAGCCCCAAGTCAATCCGGAACCTTCAGCTTTGAATCTGTACTATATGCTCATACACCCCTCCTCCCACCTCTTCCCACCCTGATGGTAATATACATATATATAGATATAGATATAGATATAGATATAGATATAGATATAGATATAGATATAGATATAAATATAGATATAGATATAGATATAGATATAGATATAGATATAGATATAGATATAGATATAGATATAGATAGAGATATAGATATAGATATAGATATGGACACAGACATAGACATAGACATAAACATAGAC